ACTGAATCCAGAAAGCTGTTAAGTGTGTGTGCTACAGACTAAGCTCAGAGAGCAACTGAGAGGTGGAGATGAAGAGGCTGTGGTCAGAGGTGATGGACAATACCCCCAACAGAACACACTGTGCAAAAAAACATCAGGTCTGGACCACAACCACAGATGTCCTGTGGATACTTGGTCCCCAAAGCCAGAGAAGGCAGCTCCAGTCCTAAGCTAACAGAACTAGACTCCAGAGCAAGGTCTAAATCTGAGAACATCTCTATGTCACTGGTAAATATATTAGGTTTATCTGTGTAACAGAAACAAGACCATCCCTAGGTGTATCAACTACAGAAGGCATGTAATTATCAAAGCTGCTCACAGAGTGCATGGACGATGAGGCCCTTGCGGCTAAAGCTTTCTCCAAGACATGCAATGCAATTTAGGTGTCAATGTCAACACATGTACGTGTGTGTGTGTGTGTGTGTGTGTGTGTGTGTACGCATAAACCACAGGACAGGAGTATTACTGACACTAAGAATGCCAGAGGCCTCGGGAGACTCTCACAGGAGCCTCTTGCTCCTTCACATCCAGCTCTCAGTTCTGGCTGTACCAGCACTGGCTCAGGAATGTGAGGGAAGGATATAGCAGGCTTTCTTGGACCATGAGGCAGCTCCCAAATCATGGCATGCAGACTGCTCAGCCTTAGCTTAAGCTTGTTTCTAGCTAGTTCTTTTAACTATCCCAATGTTCCTGTACCTCATCTACATACCATCCATCCTGCTTCCTCGGTGTCCGGCTGGCTGGCTCCCCTTTCCTCTCTGTCTGCCAGCCCATCCTATCGCTCTTCTGCCTAGCTACAGGCCATTCAGCTTTTTATTAGACCAATCAGGTGCCTTAGGCAGGCAAAGGGAGACAGTAGCACATCTTTACATAGTTAAACAAATATTCTATTCCACAACAGAAGGGAGCTGGATCAAGAACTTGGGAAATGCTTGTCATGTAATCCAGACAGCAAACAATACCCTCCTCACTCTGTACTAGGTGACAAACAGATATACACTTGTCAGCATGAGCAGGAGACAGGGACGTAATGTCAGGACAGGGCAGTGTGAATGAGGTAAACATGGCTTAGGGAAAAGGACTAACAGAATGGGACCATGCTGCAAGGACAGGGTAAGACTAAACAAAAAGTATTCTGTAATGGAGACCGCAGCAGCCATCACTGCTCAGGTAGGGCATTTCAGGAATGCTGGGATTTCAGTATTTTCTGAATGCATCACCACACTCAAGATAACAAAACCACCAACAAAATCATCCTCAGTAAACAAGGAGGCACCTCATCTAATAAGGTTTCTTTATTACATTGTTAATAGAGGGAAAGGTAACTACCCCCCCCCATGCGCCAGATTCCCTGATTTCAAGATGACTTACAGACTCCGAGTCTCTGCTTCTCTGAAAACAGTGCTGAGTGATACAGTTGAAAAGGAAAGTGGACAGGAGCCTAGAACACACGGAACAAGCAAGCAGATGAGGACTCCAGTGCTTAGGGGTCTGGTAGCCAACATGGAAGACAATGTGGCTGAACCTGGCTCTCTCTACAGAGTAGAGAAGTGATCTAATGCCTGTTTCTGTCCTCCTTGGGCATGAGACATGTGTGTGATGCATATACGTAAATGGAGGCAAAACACTGATATACACACAAAAAAAATAAAAAAAATAAAAAAATAAAAGGAATAAGATAAGAATGGGAGCGTGGTATCTGAGCAAAAGTTGCCCCCCACTATTTGAATGAGATAGGAGTGGAGCTATTTAAAGGATTAGGAGGTGTGGCTTTACTGGAGGAGGCGTGGCTTTACTGGAGGAGGTGTGGCCTGGTACAGGAAGTGTGTCACTGAGGATGGGCTTGGAGGTTTCGCCCAAACCAGGCTGAGTGGCTCGCTCTTCTAACTGCCTTTGGATCCAGATTTGGCTACTTCCATATGTCCAGATGGTTCCCGCTACCAAGTCTGCCTGCACACCTCCAGTCTCCCTGACATGATGACAACAGACTAAAACTGTGAAACTGTAAACAAGTCCCAATTAAATGCTTTCATTTACAAGAGTTTCCATGGCCACACATGCGTCTCTTTACAGCAACAGAACACAGAGACAGGATCTCATATGCAGTCTCCTCACAGAGCTCAGAGCACCCAAGGTGGAGCCGTCAGCTTCTGGGCCATGAGACATGGACAAGGGGGGAATTTAAAATGGCTGGGTCTATTTCTGTTGTGCTTCACAAAGGGCAACACTGTAGTTCATCTTTCCTGGCACCCACTTGCTGGGATCTAGGCTCACTCTAGAAAGAAACATGTGGGCACATCTGTAAGAGAATGTCTCTCAGAACAGCCCTGTGGGTAGCAGGAGCCCTGTGGGTAGCAGGAGCCCTGTGGGTAGCAGGAGCCCTCCTCTGCGGTCCCAGGCTGAATAATAAAAGGAGAAAGTGAGCTGAACATTGCATTCATCTCCTCCTGAATCAGGACTTGAGACTTTGTTTGATGTCTCTGCCGGGATGGGCTGTCTCAAGATAAGCCATTTCTTCCTCAAGCTGCCTTCATTGGGCATTTTGCTACAGCAATGAGAAAAGCAGATAACACACAGTGTAACTTAGCAACCTGAGGAGAGAACCCAACACACAGAAATGTAACAGCCTGGTGGGCATTCCCACCAGTTCCTTCCACAAAATGAATATACAGCTCCTAATTCAGTAAACATCTAATCCAAAAACAGGGCAGTGAATAACACAATACACAATCAAGCTGAGAATCAAAATTAAGACAAAATACTGCGATGAGGGAAAGGCTTAAAAGTCACTGCTGGTTTCTGTTTAGAAAGGAATTTCTAGCATTAAATGCTCCTTTTCAATTTGGTTTGGGTCAAGAGGTTATTAACACCATAAAAAAAAGTTAATGGAAAAGTATGGTCTAGGACAAAAATGTGTTATTATATTTTGTGGAAATGCCTACTTTGGGGAAATTATTATCTCAAAAACAGCCATTCCTAAGTCTGTTAAAGGCTAGCCAATTACATCAAAACCCATCTCCTATTGGATTTTATTTTTCAATTAGAAGAACTTGAGAGACAAGAGCACAAGTTATAATACAAACTGCTCGTCTCTGTCGCCACCTGCTTGTAAAAGACATAAAGAACAAACATTTCCCGATTTATTTAAAATATGACGCATATTTACATTATCCACAACTCTGAAATCTGTGACCAAAAGCAGATCAGCAGAATACATAAGAACAAGAACATATATAAGATATGACTTTTAAGAAAGATTAAGAATACCCAAAACACACACAGACCATAGTCCTAGACGGGGCACAAGTTTAAAAAAAAAAAAAAAAAGGTTTGTGAACTGCTAATAACGGTAGTATAGCTAAGAGAGGGGGAAGGAAATGGGAAAGACTGGAATGTAGCTCGTACTCCTGCTGAAAACCATGTTTTCCAGCTTCGCGTGTGGCCGCTGATGGTGACCTTGTAATTGACTCGGTTCAAGCCAATAGGATGCAATAAACAGGGTGTGGAGATTTCGCATGGGGCAGGCCCTCCTTTCCCTACTGTGTAACAGACACACATGCTTCATAACTGGAAGATGGTACTGGTCAAGGTCTCTGGCATAACACTCTCAAGACTTCCTCTGAGTAGCATGTAATTAAACTGCTGACTGAATCTCTGTTGCCTCCTAACAAAACACAAATGGTTCACAGGTGCTGAACAACAGAACTGGGTTTCAGAAACAAACGTTTACAGATAAATGTCAGTCTTCTCTCTCAGACCTGGTTTCAATATCTGTTGTCTCAGTTAATAGGGTTTGACTTCCAACTGAAACTACTGAATAGAAGGCCCAGAAATAGACAATTCATAGGCTTCCCATGGCACCAGTGATAAAATCTCATGTTGTCCCACTTTGTCCCGCCCTGGGAGTGGAACATCTTTTGTCCAGCATATGCTACATGCCCCTTAGGCGCTAAAGCCATCTCAGTTACCAGATGGATACATCTCAGTTAACAGTGATACATAGTAGCCAGCAAGATGGCTCAGGAGGTAAAGACACCAATAACCAAGCCTGATGACCTGAGTTTGATTCCCCAGGACACACGCGGAGGAAGAAAACTGACCCCTAAAAGTTGTCCTCTGCTATCCACAGTCGAGCCTTGGTATATATACATCCCCCCCATACACCCACAAATAAATACAAAATAAATTAACAGTGACCAACTGATCCTCCATACTTAAAATATGTGGTTTGCTTGATATGTACATCTACCAAGAAACAATATATTATCTTGGTATTAATTTAGTTTCATTTAAGAAGTTAGTTATATTCCATGCTATGGTAATTTTTTTCAGACTGTACTATAGTTATTTTAGTTATTATTAATGTCCTCACCTTTAGGATACAAGACATATATATAAGAATAGGTAAAATCCATTTCATTATTTTAGACCCCGTTGTAAAAATAGTATCCTGTTACTGGAATGACATTATCTTATTGCGGTCTGGCATGACAGTGAGGCCCTAACTCTGAAGATGAATATGCAATAACATTTATGGTAGTAAAAACACACTGAATCAGCTTACTAATAGCACACATCCTCAAAGTCCACAAAGACTAATGTAAAAAGGGTGACCTCCCTGAATATACTCAAATAAACCTTGCTTGGAAGGCTTACCTAGAGTGATTTATGTTTTGAAAACCAAAACAGTACAGAATAGTCATAACTCTTAAAAAGGAAGCAAATAATAAAGTTTAATCTGGTTTTACTGCATGGAATAACTGAACACCTAATTACACAGACGGACATACGTTTCTGCAGACAGGGAATGATCTAGACTTATAAGGACCTCAAGAGCAGCACTCTTAGCCAGGTCTCCTCTGACCTCTGACTTGATTCCCAAGTCAGGCTGCCTCCTTCCAGATCTGCACATAACCCACCAGGAAGGGCTGGGCTCGCTGGGAGCAAGGACCCGCACCTACCTTCCCACCGGCCGGTCAGTACCAGGGTCCTGTTAATGACCACGTCTATTTCAGTGGCGCCATCCTCTACTGCCAGTCTGATCTCTTCCAATCGTGTCTTTAAATGAGTCTGTCCAGCTGGAAAGCCAGTGGCCACTGGGAGAGATTTAAAGGAAAGGGAACAGGGAGGGGAGGATGAGGGAGGTCAGTCGGTAGGACGAAGTGAGAGATGACAGCACCAAGGGTACTTTAGCATCACTCGGGAAACACAAGGCAACATGCAGGGCCGAGTGCAAGCGAGCACCCGCTTTGGGGGGGGACATGGTAACATGAGCCTCTCTGGAAGTTCAGTTGTTGCTGAGATATTTGCACAGCACACATAGTAAGTAGGGGGGAGCACCTGTCACTGCAGGGGGAGGGGGAGCACCTGTCACTGCAGGGGGAGGGGGAGCACCTGTCACTGCAGGGGGAGGGGGAGCACCTGTCACTGCAGGGGGAGGGGGAGCACCTGTCACTGCAGGGGAGAGCACCTGTCACTGCAGGGGGGAAGCACCTGTCACTGCAGGGGGGAAGCACCCGTCACTGCAGGGGGAGGGGGAGCACCTGTTACTGCAGGGAGGAGGGAGAGCACCTGTCACTGCAGGGGGGAGGGGGAGCACCTGACACTGCAGGGAGGGGGAGTACCTGACACTGCAGGGGGAGCACCTGTCACTGCAGGGACAAGGCCAAGAAAGCACAGAAGAAAAACACACACCTACGGTTTTGAGAACTAGAAGTTTTTCCCATTCACTCACCTCTGCTCCTAAGCATGCCTGCCGTCCTTTCCTACCCTACAAACTCCTGGGGTCTGCTGCCACAGACCACACACATTGCTCTGGTGTGTAAATGAGAGGCTAACGCACTGAGATGGTGAAAACTAAGGACGACAGAGGGGTAGCTGTCAAATATGTTGGCCATCCTCCCACACAGGCTACACACAAACAAACTTAGTGCAGGGGCTGGAGCAATGGCTTGGCACTGAGAAGCAGGGATGCTTTCGGGAAAGCTTCAGCCCCAGCACCCACAAGGCGGCTCACGCCATCTACAGTAGTGTTAGAGGAACTTCTTCCTCTGACTTCTGTGAGTGCTCACAGGGTCCTGATTCCTAAGAACCCATGCAAGTACAAACAACATAAAAGATAAACCTTACAAGATGACAAGTGAAATAAGCAGCTCATCTTTGTAAATTTTTTCTTTTTCTTTTCTTTTTGAGGCATGGTCTTTCCATGTAGCCGAGGCTGGCCTTGAAGAAGTAGCAATCCCCCTGCCTCAGCCTCCTAAATGCTGGAATTATAAGCATGTTCCAACATACCTGACTCAGACTGTTCATGTAAAGTACTAGGACATTCTTGTAGCCTTTTTAAAAACTAGAATCTAATATGATCTGTCTCTACCTCTCTATCAACAGACACATGCACTGAAGCTTCTTATAGTATTTTTATTATTATTATTATTATTATTATTATTCATTTCATGTGTACATATGTGCACATAAAGTCAGAAGACAATTTGAGGGAGTTAGCTGTCTCCTTCCACAGCGTGGGCTTCGGGCATCTAAGTCAGTAGCCAGCTGTGTCAAGAGGCATGTTTATTTCACTAAAATCATGCATCAACACAACTACATTTATGAAAGCAACACAATCACAGTATAAATGTATGGAGGACACTCCAGGCTGACTGTGCTAAAGAACCCCAGATGTTGAAAAACAGGGGTAAAAGCCACCGAAAGTCTTACCTGATGCCACGGGGATACTGCAGCCTGCGGCCTTCAGCGCCTTCACGGCGTCGCAAACACGGGCAGGATAGACACAGACCGCAGCCGTGGTGATGCCTATGAAGAGGGAATAACAGGCTGCTTTACATGGAGTTCGGCAAAGACACTACACCTTAAATTATCATTTCTAGGACAACACTGGCAGAAATCAAACAAAAGGGGGAAAGACTTTCCCCACACAAGCCACAGCGATAGGTGGGAGTCAGAGGGTATCTCTCAAATGCCGGTTCTCTCCTTCCAACCATGTGGCTTCCAGGGATCAGACTCAGGTCCTGCACCATCAGGCTTGGCAGCAAGCCCCTCTCCTCTTGGACCTTCTCACCCCGGGAAGCTTTGTTCATCGCTCGCTGTTTCCAGCTCCTGGAAACACACGTGGGTTCTTGATCTTTCTAGTTACAGACAAGTTCTGAGACACCGTTCTTTGAGGTCATTTAACCTAATTCAATTATTCTCCTCCCAATTCCTAAACAGTATACTTAGTTAGAAATATTTTATTTCATGCACATGACAAATCTACTTTTACATGGCATTTGGACAGCCAGCAGATGAAGAAAAATGCAAAGGAAACTCAGAGTAACTCAATAAAATGGGATCTAAATGTCCTCCTTTGTAAGAACAGTAAGATGCTGTGGTGGTTTCAATCATGTGGTGCTTGCACTGGGCTAACTCTGCATTTTACCTGCACACACAGAAACTGAACACTCCAGAGCCAAGAAGCATCCACCTACGGAGAAGAGCTCTGCGTCCCAAAACGAGCAAGTGACACCACTTGCGGAGCCCTGGCAGCACCTCCTGGCTCTCCGGGTCTTTTTCTCATTAGAAAATAGAAAAGATTGGAGCTGGAGACATAGCCCAGGGGTAAAGAGTGCCGCTAGCTCTTCCACAGGTGCTGAGTTCAACTCCCAGCAACCACATGGTGCTCACATCCAGAATGAGATCTGGTGCCCTCTTCTGGCACACAGGAGTATAGGCAGACAGAACACCATATACATAAAATAAAGAAAATAGAAAGACCACCACCATCGCCACTGCCCCCAGTCTTCTCCATGTTTCAAATACGCTCAAAACTCAGGGCAGCTTCTTAGCATTTTTCTCACAGGGACACTAAGAGGGTGACAGGAGTCTTTGTTGGTTTTTGTTCGTTTTGTTTGTTTTTTGTTTTTTTGTAAGTTCTAACCTAATGGGCAGTACTTCTCATTTGCATTTTATTCTCAAGGGCCTTACATTTATTTCACGAATGTGATGTAATCAGTAAGTAATGAGACTGGCTTTCCTCTCGTGGCTAGGGACTCAGAGCCTGTATTTCAGTCACCAGATAGAAAGGGTCCCAAACTGAAGAACCAAGGAAACTCTCAACCAACATCTTCTGGTCAAAGATGCAAAACCTGCCCTGAATCCAAGGCTTGGAATCTCTTCCGTCTTTGAAGGGGGAATCGCAGTGGTCCGTCTACATACACAGATCAGGGATCCAGCAGGGACCTGAAGTCATAGCATATTAGCAGGTGCTTGTCAGGTCCCGGGGCTCCAGAAATTTCCACTATAACCAGGTAGTCACAGCCAGACTTCACCCGCCTCACCTTTGTCCTGCATATTTAAGGCTTTTAAGAGGTCTTGCCGGATTGGGTATTTGGCTTTGTAACAGAGCCGTTGGACGTTAGAAAATGTGTCATCCCCAGAAAGTGTAGTAAGGTCTATACATGTAACAGCCTTCAGGAGCCACGCGGCCTAGACGGGGAGGAGAAATAAGGGAATAGGAAGGTGAACCCTGAAGCTTGTAGAGAAACGTGAGACAAAATATGAGTGCTAACCTCTGAGGTCATGCTCCTATAAAGCGTTTTCTGATGCAGGGTATAAGCAGAGCTTGAGAATGACTAAGCGCAGCCAGCAAGGTAGCTCAGCAAGGAAAGGAGCTTGCTGCCAAGCTTGAGGACCTGAGTTCTATCCCCAAGGCTCACCTGGTAGAAGGATACAACCAACTCCTACAACTTGTTCTACTCCTGCATGTATGCTAGGGTACACACACACAATTTAAATATTGAATTATTTTTAATATTTAATATTAAATATTAAATTATTAAATATTAAAATATTAAATTATTAAATTAAAATTAAATATTAAATTAAATTATTTTTAAAAGAATGGCAATCAAAATGAACATTAACCAGAATAAAACAAAAAAACAGACTTCATTTTTTTTTTCTACTCCACCAACTCCTGCCATTTCTGACTTCTCCAGTTCATCAGTCAAGGACCAGCTGCAAATGCAGTACTGTGGGATGTACCTTCGTTTTACTTTCTTCCCCAGGACCCAAGGTCAGGCAATGTTTTCCGAACTCTCCAAGTTCCTGGGTTGTTTTTTTTTTTTTTTTTAATCCAATTCCATTATTAAAACAATCCTCATATTTTCTAACTCACTCTAATTTTTTTTTCCCTTTTAATCTTTTCAACCAGGGTGAGCAGAATGGGAAATGTTACTTGAAAGGCCTCTGTCCCAATGCTCTGCTCCTCTTGTGAAATGAACCCCGAAGGCCTTTTGGGGCTGCACAGCGCACCTCAGTCTGCCAGGCACCAAGGATGCTTGACTGGGAGGGTGGCACCAAGCATCGCTTTTGGAATCTTCACTCCAAAAGTGAAGTAAACGCCCCTACCTCAGCAGTGGACACACCGGGTGTAGATGTTTATGGCTTTAAAATTAAAAAAGAAGGCATCTGAAGAAAGCACGGCTAAGAGACTGAATAAATCGTGTTGAGGAAATGTGCCGTTTAATCCGCTCATGAATAAAGATGCCTCAAATTCATTTGCGGTTTGGCCACTCAAGAGTGATAAGATTCTTAACTTGTTTGGATAAATGCGTTATCTTTCTCCAACCCATCATCATCATATATGAATTATTAAAATAAGCCGTGGACAGCTGCAATCCTTTAAGTTGAGATGCATCCTGAGCGAAATTCAATACTGTGGCCTTGAGGGAAGAGGCATCGTGAGGCGTGGGGACAGAATGCTCAGGAGGGAGGGTCTGTACCTGCCATTCCTTCTTCACGCTTCTTCGAGCCTGGATCTGTCCTGCCCGCCTCAGAACAGCCGCCTGGTTCACTTGAACTCTGGAGATCCAGCTAAGATCTACAAGGAGAAGAGTAACACTTCTAAGTTTTAAAAAGGACATACCCTTCCTTCATTATCACTGTCCTTTCAAAACATGTATGTCTTGGGGGTGGCAAGATGGCTCAGTCAGTAAAGCACTTGCTGTGTAAGCCCGATGGTCTGGGTTCAACCCCCAGGACCAACTTCAAGGTGGAGAGAGAGACGCGACCCCCCTAAAGGTGTCCTTTAACATGCACACTCACAGGCACGAGCCTGCACGGCACACACGTACACAAAACAATAAATACGTTTTTTTTAAAGTAGTGCTGCTTCTTCACACAATAACAACCTTGTAGCAAACCTGGTCATCACGTACACAAAACAATAAATACGTTTTTTTTAAAGTAGTGCTGCTTCTTCACACAATAACAACCTTGTAGCAAACCTGGTCATCACAAGACATACTGCATGTAAACTAGAGTGCGTTTGAAAGAAACTACAAGACGCCATGCTGATTGATTACAGCCCTCAGCGCGGCAGGGGGTGTGCCCTCCTCCCCAGTACTCCTTGTCTCACCTCTGACAGAGAAGACTTATTTGTGAGTGTCGAGTCCAGGAGAGTGGATGATAAATACAAACTTAAGTGAATTAGCGAATACTTGCGGGCATCTTTGATCACTACTCACTTACTGACAAGATTAATACCCGCTAGATGCTGATGATACAGCCCATCAAAAGAGGATTTTTCAAAATGTACTAGAAATAACAACACTGTAGCAGACATTCAAAACAGGGAAGGGGGGGGGGGAAACTCACTCAAAGATGCAGGAGACATGGCTTCAATGTGGCCCCTCCTCTGTTTGTTTTGACACTAGCTGTATGTAGCTAAACGACCTTGGTGGAAAGTCAGCCAGCTTCCCATAAAATGTTACATTTAGATGCATCTCTGCCACAGAACTTAGATAGGGTTTTTGAAGAGCAGAGCTGGAACTTCCTTTTGTACCTAATTCAATGTGGATCATGGTCTTGCCTTTAAGAGTCCAGTGTCTGATGCCCATGATTTTCAATGCCACCCATGGATCTCTGGCAGCAGGCAGCCTCACCATGGGAAGCTAGATGTGCACCCATTCATCTACTGTAGCTGGCCTCGTTTCTATTCTGCAGGAACCTCATGGTTTTGAATTAGGGTCTTAAAAGACAATGACGGGTGAAGCGTACTCATTAGGAAATATGTGTCAATCACACAGCTCCCTGACGTTCTGGAGAACTTCTGACTGCAGACTGTACTGTGTACAGGTCAGGTGAACTATCTCTGTGACCAAACACCTACGGGAAACAACTAAGGGAGGAGGGTTACTTTAGCCCATGTCACACTGCCCTGTGCAATTCGGAAACAACATCTTTGCAAAAAGTGTTCACCTCCTGGCCAACCAGGAAGCAGAAAAAGTCTAAGTCAGAAAAGGACCCAAGATTCTTGAGACGGCTCAGGGCACGATTGCCACCAACCATGACAACCTGAGCTCAACCTGGGAACAAATGACGGAAAAGGAGAATGAACTCTAGAGATACGTCCTCTGACTCCATACACAGATACCCGCACACCATCACACGCTAGCTTGTGCACACACACACACACACACACACACACACACACACACACACACACACACACCCCACAGTGAAAGCAAGGGAAGGAATGGGGGACCAGGACATGATACTAAGCTGCCAGTGACCTGCTTCTTCCCGGAGAATCCACCTGTCATTAATGCCATCATATGAATTATGAGCCCATCAAGGGATTCATTCATTCATGCATGCATGCATTCATTCATGATCTACCTGTCTCTGGAGAGGCCCACACAGACACGCCCAGAGCTGTACCTCATCAGCCCTACAGGCACCCCTCAATTCTATCACACTGATTAGTAACACAATACTAAAGAGTTCACTCTTCACAAAGATGAGACCTGGGCCCACCAGGGCAATCAGTGGGTCTCCATCACAAACCTTCCTTCCCATTCCCACCTATGGGTTCTTACAAGTATCGATACTAATGGTACAGAAATTCCAAATTTGAGTAACAGCTACAGAGATATTATTCACTATCACTAAAGTAGGAACCAAGTTTGTTTTTTTTTTTTTTTTGTTTGTTTGTTTGTTTTTTTATTTCTGGTTATTTTGTTAGCTGAAATCATTTAATAAAATAGATTTTCAACATTTGAATCCATCGGTTCTGCTCCTTAAGAAATCACTGTCTTGCTTCTTTGCTGAGGCACCTCGACAGAACACAGACGCCTGGGCTAGGCAGACTCCTGCCCTTCTTTCTACCCAAAGGTCGTGGATTTGAGGCAGAGTCCGGGGAGCAACACTCAACAGACACAAGGGTGCACACAGCTCATTTAAGAGTGAGAAGAGCCAGGCGGCAGTGGTGCTCGCCTTTAATCCCAGCACAGGGAGGCAGAGGCAGGCGGATCTCTGATTTCAAGGCCAGCCTGGCCTACAGAGCAAGTTCCAGGACAGCCAGGGCTACACAGAGAAACCCTGTTTTGAAAAACAAAGAGTTAGAAGAACAGGGCTCTGTCCAAATGGAGGAGAGGCTTAAAACAAACAGCAAACAAACAGTAACCACTTGACCATGTCTACAGGTGATTAAACTCACGGTAGATTCAGGTGGACAGTAAAGCCAAGAGTTGTACAGGATCATAAGGGTCATGGTCAAAATGCTGAAGCCAGTCAACCTAGGGCTCTTTTCTCAAAGTTCTCCCTCTTCGTCCCTCACGCCCACTGAGCTTCCACCGCTGATGGGAGACCTGAGCAAACCCCAAGGGTCCACCATCCCTCAGCTTTCACACAAACATCTCCCTCTCCTCCCCTCTAGCACTGGGCCTCGGTGATCCTGAACGACCAGCAATCTCCTGATTTGTTGTTTTACATTCTGTCTCTGGGTCTTGTGTTCTATTTTTTCCTGTTCCCTAGAATGTCCTTCCTTACCTTGTATGAACAGCGAACTCCCACCAACCTGCTAAGACTCAGCCGATTAGGTCCTTGGTTAGCTGCCCAGAAACCCATATAAATTAGCCAGAGTGAGATAAACTTGTAATTCTAGCCCTGGGAGAATGAAGTGTATGAGGTCATCCTTAGACAGAACAGCAGATTCAGGGCTAGCCTGGGCTACATGAGACCTGTCTCAGAAAAGAGAGGAAAGGGGGAGGAGGGGAGGGGCGGGCAGGTCCCTTCTTTGGGACCCTTTCTAATGCTCACAAGCTGCACATTCTTCAGCTCCGCCCTTCTAAATGACTTCGCTTTCTAACTTTTCAGTCCTGCCCCTTCACCTGGAACAGCACTGACTATGTTAAACTCTTTAACACCTCCAACGGGTACTTAAAATCTCAAGCAAAGTATATGGCAGCCGGTGGCACTCAAGTAAGATGAAGGGTTCTCCAAGTCCAGAAACTGACTCATCCCATCTTCCCCAGGTCACAAAGGATGTCTAGATGGGATGCTTGGGCACATCCTCCTTAAAACGTACTTTCCAGTGCAGTGCGAATCCCACCTAAGAGTAGAACGCACGAGGCCAGTACTCACACTGCTTCTGCCGCTGACCACAGGCCCCTGTGAGGCTCCTACTGGAGAATGTAACAGGAATTACCTCTCCCAGGATCAGCTTCAGCTGCTAAAAATATCATTAACGGTCATAAAATTACCCGGCCCCATATTTAATCCAGCCGCAGAATTTGCCTCTGTGACCTCCCATGGCAATGAATTATATTAAGTGACGACCTCATTTTATTAGCACTTCATTTGCTACCCTTTAATTTCGTCAAATAACCCTTGTTCTCCTATCACGGGGTCTGGGGAAGAAAGGATTTTGTGACCTTTGTTATGCCCTTCAAAACTATTAATATTCCATTCAAGTACCCTTTAGCGTCTTCTCACCAGGAGAAACAGCTCTAACACACACACTCTCATCAGGACCATAGAATCTTCTGCTTCGGAGGCCACGGCGGGTTTCAAGTTCATGTGTCTTTGGGGACAGCAGACATGAAACTATAATTGTTAGGCAGCAATGCCCCTACTTACACTTTCTGATGACAAAAACTGGGCTGTTTTCTCAGAATGTCACTTTGGAAACATCCAGGCCCTCTGCTCGTCAGTTATTAATTTGTTCTCAAATACTTGTCTCCTTTTTTTTTTTTTTTTTTTTTTTTTTTTACTTTTCTGGTTTGAATCTCAGTGGACAGGGGAGCTTTCTAGTCTCCCTGACGCTTCGTTTTCGTTTGTTTGGGGTCCTTCACATAATTCCTAACCCACATGGTATGAAATAACAACCCCTCCTGAGGAGAAGCATGCTAACTTCACCTCTGTTCCCAAGGAATAAAAATCATGACCTATGATTAGACACAACATTCCCCCAAAGGGGAGAATTTTGATTCTCACCTAAGCTGAGCTGGCTTCCGGTTCTGCCTCCAAGCACATCAATTTACAACGGCGTGCACTCGTGTATTTAATACCCAAGTACCCTTCTTAGTTGTACTCACACAGCTGTCTGTAATTTCAGTATTGTTTGTTTTCAAGTCTAATTTGCACCCTCCCAGGAATCAGCCACACCCTCCCAGCTGTGCAGGTGTTCGACACAGAAGGAGCTCACCAATAAATTCGATGTCGGTACTCTTTCTATCCTGGCAAGCTAGTGTGGTTATCAGTCACTGAAACTGGTCCAGTATGTCATGAGCACGCCTGATCTGTCAACCTTCTCCTTGGAAAGGGGTGACTGGCTAGGGACAAAGACATCAGGGTGCTACTGTTATTTCAAATTCAAACCCCACAGTAAATGAGAAGACATCACCTTGCCTAGTGTCTGTCCCCAAAATATGGAAACCAGAAGCTTCCTTGTGAGCCCTATCCTTAACTAAGGGCAGGTAAGCTCCATCAGTAGCCTTCTTCCAAGAGTCTCCCATATATCAGTGTGTGTGGGGGGGGGGGGGTGTGGAGCCAAGGGCACCTATGAACTTTCTGGGCCCTAGGCCTGTTAAACTGGTC